GCGTCCCTCGTGGTCTCCTGGGCCCTCCACAGAGACGCTGAGCAGCGGGGCTGCTGCCTTAGCTGTGGAAGATGGTGAGAGCAGCCGGCATGGCCTGGACGGGGGTCTCCACTGACCCCGGGCGGCCCCCGCCTTCAGGTGCAGGAGGATGCTTTGGGCTTCCAGTGAGCAAAACGACCGTGGGAGGTACCCGCCTGCGCTGCCATCGCCGGCTGTAGGCACGTCTCCAGCCCCTGCGCTGTGTCCTACTGCCCTCCCAAGATCCTTCTCGGGGTGGCAGGACCTGCTCTGCCACAGAGGGGACAGCGCTGTCCCCCAGGAGGACGCTGCCTGCAGTGAGATGCTGGGGAGCTGGGGTGCAGAGTCGCTGGGACCCCCGTGCCATGCAGCCGTAGCTGTGCTCTGCCTGCGGCACCAGCGGGGAGCTGAGCCCGGGACGGGGTGCAGGGCAGGGGGTGCCCGGGGCAGCAGCCAGGGACCAGCTCCGTGGTGGTGTAGAAAAAGTTAGTTGCAGCTTCACACTAGCACCTGTAATTTCCATAATAGTGGGGTCCCCCGCAGCACGAGCAGTCCCCTCCCTGTCTCCGTAGGGGTCCCCCCGAGCTGTGGGGCAGCCGAGCCCTGGCTGGGCTGGTTCCCACTGGGGTCGAGCTGTCCCGGAGGGGTTCTAGCCTCTCCCCTGGCCCAGGGGACACGGGGTGGGGGCATGTCCTGCTGAGCTCTCTGTGGCAACCCTTATGCTTTTGAGCGACCAGCGCCCCAGTAGTGCCAGGGCGAGTTGTGGCAGCGCCGGGGTGGGCAGGCAACGCACCAGAAGGAATCCCCTGCCCTGTGGCGAGGGCTGGCCGTGGCCATGCACCCCAGGAGGCAGTGGAGCTGCCCCAGGCCCACAGCTTTTGGCGGTGGGGATGTCCTGGCCATGCAGCTCTCCATCCCTGGATGCCAGGGTCCCGCTCTGTGGCCCTGAGCGCAGCCCGGGTCCTGCTGCTGGCTGCCCCATGGCTGTGCTCTCTGTTCCGAATGTGTTGTGGGGGCTGTGGCATGG